AGTGTTTTCCCCACAAGACATGCAGGAGCAGAATTATCTCCCATCATCAGTTTACTTACACCTCTTTTGCTTGGTTTACTCCTGTGTTTCTGTATCTATACATTTAGTTGCTAGGAACTAGATTTTCAAGAGAAAGTGAATGCTCAGGTGACTCTAAAAGATTAAGTAGAGGTTATTCAAGGGGGAAAGAATAGGTTATGTATTATATGTATAAACTATTGAGCATTTCTTTAACAACTTCTAAGTATTGTTATTTTATAGCCAAAGAGTTGAAACTTGAAAGGGGTTTTTTAAAACCACATGGAAAATAGAGTTTTTTGTTTTGAATAGCAATTTTAGTAAACAAGATGTTTAAAGTTTTTAAAATGAAAAATACAAATATTACAGAAAAGTTTAAAGAATTGTATAATGGTACAACCATATACCCACCACCTAAATTGTACTGTATTTGCTTTACTACCTCTCTCTCCATATCTCTATTTCTTCATCCATTTAGCAATTCATCATTTTTTCTGGATGCATTTCAAAGTAAGAGCATACTTCAATACATTTCACCCCTAAATGCATCAAGAATCTTATAAGTGATGAAAAGAGTCAATATTTTCAATTTTTTTAAAGATTTATTTATTATTTATTTGTGCATACAGAACTGGGGTACAGGCCAGAGGCTCAGGGGTGGTGAGAGGCTTCACCAGAGACAGAGTGGGGAGCAGAACAGGCAGATCCACGAAGTACACTGCTGAGGGGAGCAGCTGGCGGGTCAGGAGAGGTCTGCCACGCCATGTGGTCACCTCCAGGGCAGGTGGGGATCAAACTCATGTGAAAGTGGCTTTAGCTTCTCAGTGCTGTGCTTTAACCCGCTGCGCCACCAGGGAGAGCCAATATTTTCAATTTTTAAAAAAGTTTTATTTATTCATGCATACATAACTGGGGTGTAGGCCAGCAGTGCAGGGGTGGTGAGAGGACTCACCAGAGACAAAGTAGGGAGCAGAACAGGCAGATTGATGATGTACACTGCTGAGGGGAGCAGCAGGCGAGACAGGAAAGGTCTGCCATGCCATGTGGGTCACCTCCTGGGGCGGGGATCGGACTGGTGATGAAGTGGCTTTAGCTTCATTGTACTGTGCTTTAAACCGCCCAGGGAGGGCCCAATATTTTCAATTTTTAAAGATAAAATGTTTACACAGAGTGCAATGCTCATAAGCTTAAGATTTGATGAATTTTGATAAATTCAGAGACCTGTGTCAAAACGCAGAACATTAGCATCAACCGTGAAAGTAAACTCGGATACTTTTGCATGTATTCAATCAGTCCCCATTGTCATCTCCCAAACAGAATTGCTGTCCGATCTTTTTAATCTATGGGTTAGTTTTATTTGTTTTAGAACTTCATATAATTGAAATTATACAACAGGTGTATAATTTGTTTAACCTTTCATTCAGGGAAATATTTTTGAGATTCATCTACCTTGTTTGTTAGTCATTATTCAGGAGCACTATTCTATGGCTTCAATATTTTATCCTACAAGATGTATTTACTCTCCTCTTGATATATATTTGTGCTATTTCTAGTGTTGAACTGTGAATAAAGCCACTATAGATATCATTATGCAAGTCTTGTGGTGTGTTCGAGTTTTAAAAGTTTGTTATATGTGGTCTCATGGAACAACAGTGTTTGCAAGTATCTTACATATGTGTCATGTAAGATTTGTTTATCTAATGTATCTTTATTCATGTTCTAAAGGCTGTACCTTACTTGGTACTTCCCTACCAGTGCACTGGACTTACAGGGTTTTATTTATAGATTTATCTTACTTACAGATTTATCTTTCTTAACATTCTCAGAAAATCAAAAAAGTTATTTTAGTTTAATTCTTTCATTGTTTCTTTTACTTGTGCACTCCACAATCATTATGAAAGACTGTGTGTTAGATATTCTTCCATGTGTGCTATGCCAAGTTACAGTTGTATATCTCAGAGACTATCTAGTTTATTGAAGGAGGGTATATGTACATTACGCACATACACCAACATCCATTATGGTAAGAAAGTTAAATACGTTCTCTTGGACACAGAGAGTATACAGGGGAGTACAGGAAAGGGGGTGGTGATAAAGTAAGGAAACCTGGTATAAATTGGTATTTGAGTAAATTATTGAATTCAGAACTTAAAAATATGTTTCCCTCTGGTGGCATAGGGGTTAAAAAACTCAGCACCATCACCACTATGGCCTGTGCTTGATCTTGATCTTCATCTAGGGAGCTAATCCACAGGGCACAACAGAACTTTCCTGTCATCTGCTACTCCCCTCAGCAGTATATTTCAGTGATTCTACCTGTCTTCTCCCCATTTGCCTTTGGTGAATCCTATCACTACCACCCCTCTGACCTACACCCCAGTTCTTAAATGTATAAATAAATAAAAATAACTCTAAAAAATTAATTTCGCACAACATATTTATTTAATGCACAAATAAGCCGACTTAGAGTACTTCATTATTTGTCCAAGAGGGGATTTAGATAAGAGTTAGAATTGGACTGGCTCCTGAGTTTCATTCCGTTATTTTTTCCTCCTACAATGAGCTCTTTCGCATTTTCATAACTTTGATTGAATCCTACCTTGTGCAAAGCCTTCAATCATATTTTACAAGTCAAGGAAAATGAGTGAAACACAATTTCTTCTGTCAGAAAATTCCAGTTAGTTGTACAAACCACACGTGCACACACACACACACACACACACACATAATACTAGCAATAGGAACAAAGTTCCATACAAACACAAAGGACATAGCAACTAAAGCACCATATGAACCTAACATGATTTATAAAGTTTTCAGTGTTTTACCTTCAATATTACTTTGAAGATAACCAAGAGGTCTCTGTTCCCCTCTCAGAAACAGATTGAGTCCAGTCTTCTCAAGAAAAGCCCACATCAATCTCAGATTTTCTTTCTAGTTCACGGGCAACACCCAGAAGCTCTTTCCTGTAATATACTGTGACTCTTTGAGGGCAGACATTCTTACCCCTCAAGTTTAGTTCTGTTCCTGAAACATAATAGATGCCTCATAATATTTGAATGATCAGTGGTTATTAAAACAACAACAACAACAACAAACTAAGGCTAGGGAACATGAGACTCAGGTGGGCTCTTACAAAACCAGCGAGAGTATTGAGATGTCAATGAGCTTTCCCTGGGGCTTGTGATCTCAGCAAAAGCAGGGAGAAGTGAAATGTTGGTGTTTACACTATGATTTTTTCCCCATGTAATTCTGTTGTTGCAACTCTAGAGATTGTCTGAAGTCTTCAACTTCTCCACTCAAATGAGAGAAAACACAAAACAACTTATTCGTCCTGACAGATACACACTGTCTACTTCCTATTATTTTCTCATTTTATTTCTCTTTGTTAGACACATATCCATTTGCACCTAGGATGTGTCTGCCTCTTCTTTCCATTATTTTAAGAATAGTCTTAGGTTTTTCATCTTCTCTTCAAAGCAGAGTCTCCCCTACCCCCAACCTCACCTCATTCCAGTGGACTTCACAAAGCTTTTTCTAATTTTAACAATAAAAGGTCTGGGTGAAATCCTGCCTCTGCTGTGGACCAGAGCAGCAGGAGCAGAAGACAAATTTCAGGGATGGCAATTCTGGTGCAGGGTGGACAAGGATGTGGCTGAGTGACAGACAGACACGACTTCTAGGAGTGCATATCTGAATGTGATTTATTTTTAAGAGTGCAGAGCATTTATACAATTTTCTTGGCAAGCATATATAGGGATACAATGATTCTTTTAATAGAAGCGTGACAGGTAGTACATTAATTTCTTTTTGTTTCTGAGATGTTGCCAGGGGCCGTAAATCAACTTGGGGCCCTAATTTCTTATTGTTTCTGAGATGTTGCCAGGGGCCCGAAATCAACTTGGGGCCCTAGGAAACCATTGTGTGTTCAAGCTTCAGTGCTGCTAAACAAATGCCCTATGTATCACCTATGCCTTTCTAATCCTTTTAATTGCTCTCCCCATTCATTTCACAAGCCACCTAGTGTACAGGAGTTAATAGTTTAATAGAATTAAAGATTGCAAAGGAGTTTCTCAGAGATAAATCAGTATCGAGAATAGAGGAAGTTACATTCCTTTCAAGAGTATTATTAGAGACGAAGCACAGTATCCATAACATTTCTTTAGTTCAGTGCCTTGTGTGTCAACAGAATCAGAAAGCAAATCAAAAGTTACAGTGACCATTCGAGAATCAGCCATTCTTTTATTCCTGGAGGGCCATGTATTCCTCCCATGTGCCCAGTACCTTGACCCTGCCAAGCTCTAAGGATTTCTCACTTAGGCGCCATGGGAGGGGACATGGCATGCCTCTTACTTCTTTTCCTTCACTAAATAAGTGATTTATTTTAATAGGTTGCATTTGGAATGTATTATATAACAATTATCAGCAATAATATATTTGACTTAACTTTTTTATTATTGTCTAAGATGACTTTTTAATATATTTAATAGACATATACCCCAAATAATTTCCTAAAACACATCATTGAACCTATGATCTAATGTCTTACTGGTGTTCTCATTTGTTTTTACTGTCCTGTTATTGTTTAGCCTATACTGTCTGGAGAAGATTTAGTTTCTTTCTGTTCTGTCTGCCAGTGACAGGGCAAGGTCGTCTATTTTAGCACCCAGGTCAAATGTCCTCTTAATAAGGGTCTCACTGGTTTCTCCACAAGAATCACTGATACATCTTTTGGTATCTATAGCAATTGTGCGTTTGCTTCTATTTTGGGTTTTCTGTCTTTTCTCCTGGACATCAAAAGCCTACTTCAGGGTAGGCATGCTGTTTTATATCTGTCATTCTCCTTTAAAAGTAAAAACCTGATTACAAGTGACAGGTACAGAGAGTAAAACAATTTTTAGAACTTTCCTTCTGGTCATGTAAGATTCTAAAATCTTACTGGAATTTTGGCAACTTGATTTTGTTTTTGTATTTCTTTATAGGAAAAGGAAGACCATTTTGAATCGGTTCAACTGAAAACCTCAAGATCTCCAAATATATGAAAAGACAGTGCTGTAGCCTTCAGACTAGTGAATAAAGAGACCAGCTTTCTAGTTTCACAAGACCATAGTTTAGAGCCTGTCCTCATACCTGGCATGTTGGTGACCTCACCAAGGAGGGTTCTGCCACTGAAAAGGAATGAAGGTTGTAATGTTTGAATGCCTTATCACATGGTCAAGTATCTTGCCAAAAATAGACAAGCAAGTGATTTGGGTCTCAACTGAAGATGAAGCTAAACTCAGGAAGAGATTTATCTGTATATACATGTTACTGAAAACCAAGGTTAAACCCACCAGTGCACTGCTAATGCATGCCATATAATGAATGGGTAACTTTTGTTCTTTATAGCTTCAATATAAAAAGTGTGTTTTGAAGGAAGATGTGAACATATGAATTGTAATCACAGTTATGTCTTTTCTTTATATTTAAGGGGAGATTTGAAAAAAATTTTAAAGCTATACTTATTTTTTCCCATTATTTATTTTCCTGACCTTACAGCATCTTTTCTATTAAAACTGGTGAACAAAGAAAGACAATATATTTTTCATTTTTTCCATATGATATCTTTCTTGATTTCATAAAGTGAAGTAAGCAGCAATTTTTTAGGAAGACTCATCATGTACTAGGGTTTTCTAAACATAAAATTGCCTTTGAGATTCTATACTTACTAGAACTGGTAAGAAGCACTTGACTGAAAATATTGAGAACTCTTAAAAAAAAAAAAAAACAAGCAAAGGAAGAGCCTCAGCTTTGTATGAGTAAAAAGATGAAAGACGCTGACACTATTATAGAAATCAAATTGCTTAAAACAGTTTAGTAGTACTTGAAATATAATTTAAAATGAGTGGGAAGGCTTGTCAAACTATTGTAAAATTGTGAGGAAGCAAATACGATGACTTGTAAGAGTCCAGTTATCTTTCCAAGGTATTGAGGTAATTTCCTGGTCACGAGAAAATTGCAGTGAGACATTTGCCCCAAAGGTTTTATGGTCATTTCTCTGCTACAAGACTTTAAGAATAGTGACTTCCATGAAAGTTTTTAAGTCAGTCAGGAATTCAATTTTGGAAAACTGCATATAATTATTTCATAATGAGAATGTGGTTGTACCATGAACCATTATGAAATAAGTTTTCTTATACAAAAGTGATCCTTATAGTTGAGATATTTCCTATGATGAGTGGTTTACATACTAAGATGATTGAATATTGTTGGCTGAAAAAATTTAAATGAAGTTGGATTTGACTAATTTAGCATAAGTCTTAATTGTGTTAGGAAAGAATGGAGTGTCCTGGCTATCGATAAGCTAAGGTACTCTGGTTTGTTTTAATAAAAAGTAATCTTTACAGGCCTTTATTCAGATTTTTTTTTCCCCCATAAGAGTGGTGATTGGCTAAACAAGACAGGGCATATGGGCAGGATTTGTTGAATGTTTTACCCCAAGTCTTTCACTGAGGTATGACTTGTAACTTTTTATTCAGCAGGTGTTATCTTTATTTTTGTGGCAAATGGGAGAAAAATAAATAATGTGTTTTTTTGGCTGGTGGGTAAAACACTGGACAGTTCTGTTATTGATGAATGAATATTTGTCTTGTATACATGTGTGTTGTTGTCGTGAATAAGGTGAGGTTGCCATTATTTTACTGTTTATGGTGTGGCAGAGTTGGTTTATAAGTCACAGTCATGTTTAATTTGTTTTTAAAATTTTTTTTTTAAATGTATACAGGCCTGGGGTACTGGTCAGTGGTGCAGGGGCAGTGAGGGGATTCATCAGATACAGAGTGGGGAGCAGAACAGGCAGATCGACAAAGTACACTGCTGAGGGGAGCAGCAGGCAAGATAGGAGAGGCCTGCTGCATCATGTGGGTCAGCTCCCTGGCTGGGGATTGAACTTGTGCTGAAGTGCTGCGGCTAGCTTTGTAGTGCTGCTGTTGTGCTACCAGGGAAGGGCCTCGTGTTTAATTTCTTAAATTTTCTTGTAAAAGAAATTATTGCTTATTTATATCCTGCTAATAGTGCTAATGAGTTTTCCCCCATCCTGATCACAATTTAAATAGAAGAATGGAAATACATGAAATGCACACTTTTCTAGGAAACCAGGCAAAGTTTTGCTTACTGGACAGGCATGCAGTTCTACACAGTCACCGGCCACCTCTCTCCATCTTGGGCTGTGCTCCACATACCCCACAGGCCACAGAGATAATTGGGACTTGCTCCCAGGGAGCTTTTTTCTTTTCCTGTCACTGGCCTAAAATATCTCACATGTCAAAAATGTTTTAAATTTTAATGAACTCACTGAAAATGTAGTTGATACTGTAGAATTAATTTATTTTATATCTTATTTATTAAATAGATTTTTGTCAGCTTAGTCCTATTTTGGAAAGGAGCTCCCATTCTCCTTTAGATCATAATGGTTTATCATTTTATTCCAAACACTGAAGAAATGTGACAGAAAGAATATTTTGATGAAAATATTCAAACCAATGCTGACTATGAAATTACCTTCAGTTTTATGTCTTGCCTTTGCAGTGTTCTGAGGAATGGTGAAAATCATCAACAAGTCAATCATGTTTCTGTGACTTCTAATTGATACCTGGTTTTCCTTCTCCCCTCCTCCTTTGAGGTAGAAGTTATTTTTTATCTTTTTAAAAGGCACAGTTTTGAAGCCTTTAACTACCTCATTATGTCAACTGTTGCCTCTTAGCACTCTGTCAAAATAAGTTTTAATCAGTTTTCTACTGGTTGAAACTATATCATCTATGGATAAATTATATGATGCCATTTAACAGCACTGAGTAATTCAATATTTGTTCACTTGATTAAAAAGATTAGATTTTATCCTTGTTGACATCTCCCTCTTTGGCTACTAAGTAATCAAGTCCTTTCTGGGATTAAAAATGTTTTATTATTATTATTATTATTATACTTATTATTCAATGTTTTATTACTATTAATGGATTTTTCCCCCCAAGGAAGAAAAGGTAATTTAAATAGTTATGCAGAAAAATTACTTCTGTCTAATCAAGTCTTTAGATTCCCAGGTGATGTGTCATGATTGTGGGTATATAGATCTAATCTGGTCAATTGTTCATTCATCTCATCAGAGCTACTTCCTGTAGTTCATGGTCTTTCTAATAGAGCCTAGTGTGAAGAGCATTTCTGTCTTCCCATGAAAATAACTTCTGTGGGAGTTGGCATGGGAAGATTGCTCAATGACAAGTTTAAAGTTAGTATATTGCTCACATTTACCTTCTCACATAAAAGATTTGTAAAGTAAATCTTCAAAAACCTCATATACCTCTACACCTGTGGCATAGCAACCATGAATATTACCTGATATTTATAGGACCAAATATTAAGGAATAAACTGTAAAAAAAAACAAAAACAAAAAACCTCAAAACAAAACTTATTCCTTGAATATTAAAATGGAGTTCACTTTCACAGTAACTGGCCAGAGATTAAGCTCGTACAAATCTTTCTTTTGGTTCCCCACATTCAGATGAGTTTAATTTTAAATAGTAAAAATAGTAAAAGAAGAAAGTAAAACTCCAGATGGGCACAAATAATAGCAAACGAACTGATAGAATAATTGTAATTGCCCCAGTAGGAGCCCAGCAACTTTTTCTGTAAAGGTCATATTTAGGCAGGACATATGGTCTTTTTTGCACTTCCTCAGCTCTGCCACTGCAGTATGAAAGCAGCTACAGACAATAACTAAGCAAATGGGTGTTTATCTGTATTGCAAGAAAACTTCATACACACCATCTTTTGAGTTTCATTTAAATTTCATTGGTCATGAAAATATATTTTTTTAATTTTTAATTTTTTTACATCATTCTTTGTTTTGTACATTTTTTTCATCTCAGTTGAGTCATGAATTTTTCTTTTGACCCTCCCCACCCCTCACAATTATTTAGAAGCATGGAAACATTCTTCATTCACAGGGCCTATAAAATTCTTGCTGGCCTAGGTTTGACCTGGGAGCTGTGGTTTGCTCACCTCTGGTTTATATCACCATCACCTATGAGCAAAATTGTTCAGAAGAACCTGTTCAAATACTGATACATTGCATTTTAGGATCTTATTACCTTAACTTTTTCTCAAGTCTCTAGGCCATTTAAGAAGAAAATAACTCATCACATTCCCTTGATGATTTGATCACCCACCCAAAAACAAAGTCAAATACTCAGTTCTGAGTTCCATTTGTAGGTCTGGCACTTGATTATAGATATTGATTAGCAAATGATGAAATTAGCAAATGATGAGTCAATTGAATTATTTCAATGTAAACCGGCAAGATTTATCTAAAAGCCTTTCTCTCTGGGGTTTTTAAAACATTTATGGCTAAGGTAATTGGATATTAAGATAATACAACTCTTAAATATAGATCCACTTAATGATATGACAATGGTGGTTACTGATGCATCAAAGTAGCTTCAACATCAATTCTGAGCCCGTTACCTCAGAAGGTCCCTGTTGAGTTGCATGCTTCAAGGGGGCACACCTCATTATATACATATCAAATCGTGTGAGCCTACACCCTAAAATATATGCTGTATTATAAACCAATGATACCCCAATAAAATAATTTAAAATTAAGAGGACTTCCTAAACAGCTTAGGGCATTTAAAATTACTTTAATGATTGGTTTCTCAATAAACATCTCTAATTTCGCTAAGTAGAATGTCCCCAGTAAGCCTTTTAATTTGCTGGAATTTTCCTTACCTTATGCAAGACTCATAGGAGAAGAACTCTTGTCTAAAATTAGGTATTGATGAGTTTGGTTTGGATGGGACCAATAGTTTCTTAGCTCAGATTTCTGATAGCATATTACCATTAGTTGTGTTAGATAAATGTTAAACTAGTAGGAATTATGTGAATCAAAATTTGTCACAGAACAGGAGTGGCAGTTGCTTACTTGTGATTTGGGGCCTTTGTCGTTAGACCTGTGGTTGTTGTATTCCACAACGGTGCTTCATCTTCCTGGCATCTCACTTTATTGTTGGCCTCTCCATCTATAGAGCCCTTTACTGAACACTTCTGGGGCTCAAAGTTGTTAGAGTGAATAAATGAGTAAAGCAGGGATACGAATTGGAAGAAACATGCAGTTGGAGATGGTAAAGGCACACTGGAGTTATTACCCCTTTGTGAGCATTGCCCTGAATCTATCCTCAGTGTGGTTTACAAGCCTGCTTGTCTCACAACTTTATTTTACCATAATAAACCTGAGTGGGGAAGAAATCTTTTAATATTTAAGCTATAGCGGACACAGAGCATTTCAGAAACCACAAATATTCAGAAAACCAAAAATGATAATCAGGTGTATTGTTAGGTTCTGATGTATCTTTTTATGAGTAGGATATATCATTTGTCTGAGTTCCTTAAATTCAGGAAGTTTTAGCAAAAATGGATCAACTCAGTCAGTTTCATGTTCTAAAAGGATAAAATGTTCCTAGAGTTTAAAAAAAATCAATTCAAAACCTGTTTGTTTGAAAGGTTTATGTATAAAAGATTTGATAGCTGCTTTTTCCCCACACATACTGTTTTCTAAAAGGTTATTTCTAGGGAAGCACATGTTATATGTTGCATTTCCAAATCAGAAAGATTTGTGTTGTGAAGGAAAAAATGAGAACAGTTGATCTGTTAATGCATTTTCAGTGGACAGGCAAAGTGTGAAATGTAGTAGCCATAGATCAAAACCTAGCTCAAAAACTGTTTTCCCAGGATTCACCCACAACCCAACTGTCTAGTTAAAAAAAAAAAAAAAAAAAGTGTAATAAATTTGGTTGTTTTAGTCATCTGACGAAATTTGTCTCTGAGCAACCCAGGTACTATTGCTTCCTAAGACTGGGACATTCCATCAGTGTATTGAGCTGCTTTTTTTCTCTCTCATCAGCTTTGCCTCAGTCTTTATCTTGAACAGATGCTCATCTGAGCATGCAAATTTAGCACTCTCATCTAGTGTTGTTGAACCTATCACCCAATCTGCCCCGCCCACTCCTTAAATCCTAGGTTTGTATTTGAGTATGAGAATTCAAGGCTTAGTAGGCACTGTTATCTTTGACCATCTGGTGACTTTTGAATGGGTTGATTAAGTTGCTGATTCAAATGCAACCAGAAGGAAGCAGAGAATATTTAGCATCTGACTCCTCACTTTATTTCCTTCAAGGCCAGTTCTGTAGGCTTTGTGCATCTGCTCCTTATTCTTTGGGTGTTTAATGAATAGTATAGGTAAGACCTAATTAGCAAGACTATTTTTAGACTGTGGTGGGTTCCTCAGTCCATTGATTTTCCTCTTCCTTCTTTGCTTTGTCTTCCTCAGTCACTTCTTATGCTTCTTAAAGGTAGGCATTACATTGTATTTATTTTTCTTTTTGTCACAATCCAAATAGTGGACTGTCCAAAGATACATCCATATCCTAATCCCTAGAACCTGGTGTTGTGACTCCATTTTGAAAAATGGCCTTTGCAGATATCATTACGGATTTTGAAATTCTCCAGTATTATTGAGGGTGGGTGGTGGGATAGCAGAGAAGTTATCCTAATGACTAGTGTCCTTGTAAGAGACATACTGAGGAGAAGGTGATATAAAGATGGAGAAAGAGCCTGGAGGGATGTTGATGCTATTCACAAAAAATGACAATGACTACAAGCCACAAGCATAGAGCAGATGCTCTCTTAGCACTTCTGCGGCATTGTGGCCCTGGAATACTTTGATTTCAAGATTCTGGTCTGCACAACTGTGAGAGAATAAACTTCTTTCATTTTAGCCATGTAGTTTATGGTAAGTTGTTATATCAACCACATGATATTTTCTCTATTCACAGGACCTGAAGCAGGACCTGACAGATAGTTAGGATGTCAGTAAGATTTTCTGTTAGTAAATGACTAGAACATTTACCAGGAGAAATAGGACAGTATTATGAAGCATAATCCCATTTTAGTTTATCCATGCTTTCCCAGTTCACTTCTTTGTTGAAGTTAGTAGACATTCAAGTTTATGACAAGCTTCTGTGCCTGGGCATTGTTCCTGGGACACTGGAAAATAAAAGCCTGTATTTTTATCGTTTCATTCAGTTATGAAGGGTGAGGATGACTTTCCAATGAAATAACAAGATGATCTCCCAGGCTTCTAGCTAGTAATTAGGTTGATTTCGGAAAGGAGAGGCTCCAAACCTTACCTGGAACATTGCAGTCCCTGCATTCTGAATGTTGAAACCCTCTCCTTGCCTCAAAGCCCTGAGATAAATTACAGGCTGCTATATAGACGTGGCTTAAGACTAACCACTATATATATATGTGGATATATATATATATAGTATTGCCCATCAATTCCAGGACATTGTGGTTTGTGGAAAGTCAAGATCTACACACAGCTTTCTAGAAGGATAAGCATATATGTTTTAAGTGTATATAGATGAGAAGAGGTGCAAAATTAGACAACTTTCAACATTAATAGTAGAAATGATTCTGTTAGCATATTCATGTTACCTGGAGTGATTTCATAAAGAACACACCATTATCCACCATGCTGAAAAACCTTGACGGTTTTATTTTCAGTATCTTTACATTAATACAGATGCTTTTTATTTTTGTGCTGAGAAAAACAATCTGTTACACATAATGTAACTTTAATATACAACATAGAAACTCATCCTAAATTAGTTACAACAAGGACCTACAAAAACTTCATAGGAAAAAAAGTTACCTAATATTGCCACCATATTTTTCAGTAGACTGACCCTGTCAGACCCTGTCACCAATGCTCAGCTCTGTAAACAATGGTTATTTCCATGTTCTAGGAAGTATTAATAATAGGGGCACTAAAATCAGCCTAAAAATTCTAGCACATCACTATATACTGTACAGTCCTCAAAAATAATTTATTGTACTGTTTCTAAAAAAAAGGTACTAGGTTTTTCTTTTGCTTTGTTTCCATATTCTGGAGCTGCACTTGAGCACTTTTTTCTAACAGTCTAAGAACACGAGAACTGAACTGCAATTCACAATCACAGAGATGAGGTGGTGGAGTCGAGGACCTCCCGCCCGTTGCATACTGTCGGGACATACGTGCTTGCAGAGGCTGGAAAACAAAGAAAATTCACTGTTAGTCAGATGGGTTACATAGGTAATGGCACAGATAATCTCAGACACTTGTTAAAATTAAGCTTAAAACTCATTTGAACTCAGCACTGGAAGATGATAAGTGATTTAATGATATGGTAGGGAACTTTCAAAATATATGTGCCTCAAAATTAATTTCTGTCTTGGAAAATATCTCTACTGATGTCCCATCTTATGAAGAGTGAGTTTATAAGCATAATTATTGTTGGAAGAAGTCACTTGTGGATTTAAAATCAGCTTTGGTAATCTATAAACTGGTTAAGACATAATGTGAAAATTGAAAGCCCTCTGCAAATTTCTTAAAGATTCTTAAATTAATTACTTTTTCCAATACCTTAATTAGCTTTTTCTTTCTGGGCAGGGATGACTCTTCTGTACTCCCAGGAGTCATCTGTGAATTCCACTGCTATATTTTCATTGTTCAAATGGATAACCTCAGTGAAAACTAATGAGACTTGGGGTGTTGGGTACTTAAAATTCATAGCAGTTTTCAGAAAGGAAGACGCAGGATAAATAAAGTTAGCCTTTCACACCATTAGCCTCTGTGGGTCTCACCTGCGCTGTGATCGTGTTAACACTGGAGGCGCGTGGGCATGGGGCACCCGTGCCTGACTGCGGACACCTGAGTACGGCTGTGTGCACAGGTGCAAGTGTGCACACATGCGCCTGGAAGTCTGGGATGTGCTGGCGACGTTACTCAGAGACGGTTATGGCGGAACAGCTGCCAGAGAGAGGCCACGTTCCCAGAGAAAGCCCAGGGAAAGGGGGTCTAGCCGTTCAAAGGGGGCTCAAGCTGCTGTTTTCCTGCTGGCTTGCGTCCCCTAACCTGTAGGCATGATGCCAGAGGCTCCAAGTTTCTCTCTCAAATCTCTGGAACTGATGGTGAACCTACCCGGCCTGGGATGGTTGCAAAACAGAAGCCATTCCACGTGGATGATGCTGGTGAAGGCTGTAGAACAGAGCTGCCCTGTGAGTACCATGTGGATACATACGCTTACTCATTTTAGGGCACTGCGTTTTCCCCGATATGGGCTTATTAGCTTTTGTGTTCCAGATGTTTTGTTTGAATGAAATGCAGGTGCAGATGAGATATGTCTGTTTTATCCTTAATGCTTTCCTCCTCTCCCCCGCCCCCTGCTACTGAATGAGGATAAAAGTAACAAGCCCCATTCTCCATGAGAGGATTCCCCTCAGTCAGAGGTGGCTTTACACCACCTTTAGGTCCTGTGCCTTGGTCTGGACGTGAGGACTTACACCGATCAGAGGGAGCTGATTCTCTTGGATACCTGGTCACGGCCCAGGTCAAACTGACTAATCAACTGCCCCATGCTCAAAGGGGGCATCTCTTGGGTAATAAAAAATAAACTAATTTCATGCCAACGTCTTCATGCCTGACACATATATTTTACCCCATAAAAGTGCATCTTTCATGAAGTTTCTTTACAAAGGAGCGAATAATTAAGAAATTTGAGATTACATTCAGGTGTTCAGTAGGAAACATTCCCCATACCTGGAGCAATGAGGTCTCATGCTCACCAGAGAGCTCACGACCCTTCAGTTGACATCAATTAGGGATGTGAGAAATCTCTAAGTCTGTGACATGCTAACTCTCTTGGGGATATTTTTTCTTTTTATCATCTTTAGATTCAGGTTCACTTTTTCTTAATATGGGCACACTAAAAGCTGTAATATCTTTGGGGGACAAGGATGGCATACTTTTTTTAATGATGGCTTAATTTGCACTTTCTGAAATTTGAGAAGGGAGACTATATCTGAGATAAACACTTGATGGAAAGTGATATTGATATGATCATTCCAAATCTGAGTGCCTTATTTTATTCTTTGCAAAGTTTCTTCATATGCTCTAAATCTGGTGCTCAGAGATCATTAAAGTAAGAGAAAGAACAGGCAAAGGGAGTTCAAATCACTGTGCACTGGAAGCCTGGCAGAGCCCTCTAGGGTACTCACTAATGTGCACTTTCTGTAGCCTCCTTGTATCCAACTGCATTACCTTCACGGCTCAAGGTGATATGATAAACATTTCATATTCAAGTGGCCAAAGCATACCCATGCCTATCTAGTCTTCTTTTTCTCCGTGGGTGTTCATACCATCTGGACAATTACCTAAAGCAATAGCCTACCATTTATGCTTCATTTCTTTTTTGCCCTATTTCCTATGTCAAATTTGCCTTCAGATCCAATAAACTTAATCTCTGCATCTAACTACTATCACTGGCTCCATCATAATTGTGTGAGAGCATTATTATCTTTCTTTTAATGACTGCAATAACTCCTTGCTGGTATTGCTGTTTTACACTTGCTCCCTGCAATACACCCTCTGTACAGCAGAGAGTGTCATTTTAAATGTAAACTACCTACCGACATGCTCTAGTGGCTTCCCTTTTTTGCAGTTCTTATTTTGGTCATTGAATCCCAAGATGATTCAGACCATGCCTAGCCTTCTGAATTTACCTTCTTTGTGTCTTCTTCACCCCTGTTTTTGTGCTTTTGTCTTCAAACAGCTTATCTGTTTTGCAACTTGAGGCTTTTGGATTTATCTGGAATGTTCTTCCCTCTTTAATAGTGTTACTACATTTGAAAAGTCTAGTCCAGTTGGTGCTGCTTGACTATTTTTTGTTGTTGTTAGTATTTTATCTTTTAAGTTTTTGATTAGATACTATGGAAGCGCTTTTTCACTTTTTATTACTTTGTCCCTATGCTGGTCATAGAGTAGGCCCTCTAATACATTTTCTGGATACTTGTGTAAGTGGCTGTACTCCCAAGAAAATGAGAACCAATGGAAGTTTCAAAAAGGGGATAATCTTTTGACATGAAGAAATAACCAGCAAATGTGAGACCTCTGGGCAGCCTTGTTTGGGCCAGGGTGGCTTCTCCAACCACATGGTGACAATGTGCATCACTGCCCCTCCAAAGAGGATTGGCTTGGGCGAGAGCACCCCATAGCGGGTGTGTGGCTTTTGACATTTTGACTAATCTCTTCATCTTTTCCAGGATCAAGTTTTATTATTTCTGTGCAGGGTTTTCATTTTCAGAGATTAAAGAGGAATGATATGTCATGGGGATAAGTCTAGAGGAGCCAGGGACTGGCAGGCTGATGCCCTTCTCCGTCTCCCTTGGATTAGTAATACCCCTCTCTACTTGTATTTTTAAAAAAATGTATTAGAAACCTACAGTGATGTCCCTGTACTACTGTGGAACTTGATGGAATACTCTTCTTAAATGTGAGCTTATGATCCGCTTGCTCATTGCATTCAAATCAGGTATATTTTGACTAGGTAGGTAAGAAGTCCATGTAGCTGCATGAAAAATCCGCAAGTTATATATATAGTTTCAAGGCGCCTTCTGTGTATACCCCATGGACATCATTATGGAATTTCACAGCATAATTAAGTTGTCTACCTGCTGTATAAGGTTATTAAAGGGATCATCCCATGTAAGAATGTCTAAACTCTTTGAGAGAAATTGAAAGTGTTACAAGGTATAACAACAGAAATACTCACAAGATACTTTTGTCCCTAGTCACTTTTTAGTGCATTGAAGAGAACAATAATGGTGTATTTTTTCCTGCTACTCTTTTACTGTTTCATCTGTGACTTTTGCCAGTACATTTTATTATGTGAAAAATAGTCTCAATTTTTGCACATGCTGCTGAATATAGTAGAGGAAATTATTGTTTTATGAGTTTGCTATCTCAATTACTTTGACTTTCATAAATATTTTACATATGCCTCCAGTATTAGTCCATCTGTCATTCCCCAAGGTAGTAAAATATGTGGAAGAGCAAAGTACTATCATTTTTGTGTGTATGTTTGCGATGAGCTTTTGCTATTATTCTAATGAAATTCTCACGAGATTTTTAATGGTGTAGGTTTAGTCCATTTTCTTAAGTGCGGCTAAGCAGATTTCTGTAATCATCTTTTCTGTCAAAAATAAGTGTACAGGCTTATTTTTGACTTTCTTGGGTGTGGGGGTAGGGCAACTGTTATGTTAGGCTAAGGTGGTGCTTTATGCTACTCAAAGTGAAGGTAGTTGAAAAAGACCTAATAATTCTTCCCATTGGTTACAAATGGGTAATTCACATCCAGTAGAAGGTATATTTAGCTTTATAAACTTGATAAAGCATTGCAAATCGATGTAGCCAAGTGACAGCTTTATCTCACACAGTGAAATCTATTTCTCTTCCACCAATAATGCTCAGACTGGCCAAGCTTGGAGAAAATGGCTCTATTTCTTTTTCTTTCTTTCTTTTTTTCAAGTAACTGTGGCCTCAATCAATGCTAAGTATTTTTATTTAATAGATTCTTATGGGTGCCAAGTCTGTTAGTCAATTTAATGGCCCAATTTTGGCTCCTGAAAATTGGTGTGTTATTACCATAATTCTAATATATCAGATCGAGAAAAGAAATAAAACAAACACTTAAACAGAACAGGCATTCCAGTTTGTTTCCATCTATTCCATTTCCTTGCTCCTGGTGACCCCAAATAATTTTCCCCAGCATGTCTATTTGTTTAGATATTTGAATGCTGTGGTCATAAAATCCAATTTCCACTGTCTGTTGATTTATCCTCCTGTGTATCATTGAGACTGTATTCTTACTCATTGTCTTAACTTTACTTGTGTGAGGAGGGCCCCTTAGTCACACTCTTGAATTTCATTCGCTGATGAGTAGATGCTGCCTGGGAAAATGATGACATTACTAGATACTGATTTGGTAGCTGTGGAAGATGGAGAATCTGTTAATTCATAAATGTGGGCTACATTCTCAGGGGATGTTTCCCCATTATTATCTATGTAATGGTCTACAACTACTAATGTGGATTTAAGACAAAATAATATTCATGATGGTGTGGAATAAAAATCTGAAAATACAAGATATCATTTTCATTGTAGAACTAGAACTAAGGAAGCAAAGACTTCTTTCAATGACTCATTTCTTGTAAGATGAGATTAGTGGAAAGGGAAAATATAGCATTGTACCTTTTCTATAAGCCCACAGCACAAGATGGTTTTCTTACCAACAGAAATCCCACTTCGATTTTAGCTCAGTCTGTGGCTGTCTCATCATGCTGCCTTTCCAGTTATGTTCTTTTATTTTCTCTTCCGCTCAAAAAAGTATGAGTGGATGTATAATAATTTATACGTGAAGACAATAATTATTTGCACATTTCTACTTGTTCTGCATTTTTCTTGTCTCCTCTTAGTTGCCCAGAATTTCCAAGTTCTCATCCTTTCTCTCCAAATGTGTTTTCAGGCAAGAAGCTTAAGTCTATTCACTCTAATAAGAATAGTATGTACTACAGTGTATAGGTGTCAAGGTATAAAGCCTAAAATGTTAAATTCTACTGAAAACTATTGTCAGGCATTAGTCTTGCTTTCTAGTGAACTCTTCCTGATAGCTTCATTTTCAAGTTACATACTGTTTCTGAACACTTTATTGGCTTCCATTGGTACCATCCTGAGGTAAGCCACCATCATTGGAACTACGTAGTAAATTCACCTATTGCCTTCTCAGTGATCTTTGTCTATTCCCTGTCTTATGTTCTGCTCACACAGTCAAAATGATGAAAGGATCCTTTTAAAATCAGGTCATGCAACACCAATGATGAAACCCTTCCAATATTTTCCCATTTCTTTCAACAGACAAGTAAAAGTCCTTACAGTGACTTCCCAAGTCACTCTCAGAGTCTCTCACTGTGCCCACGCTAGCCTGTCTCTTCACACTTCCACTTTTTTCATTTCCCTCTGGTCACATTGACTTAGGATGTCCTTCCAACTTTGGGTTGTTGTTTTCTCTGTTCTCTCTGCCTGGAAAGTCCTTCCCCTAGATATCAGCATGTCTCTCTTGTCTCTGCTCAAATGTCACTGTGTCAGAAAGACCTTTCCAAGACACTATACAAAATATGAATACTGTATCCCCAGTAAGCCTTATTTGTTTATGTATGCCCCATTTTGCTTCCCCCATATCACTTAATCACATACGATATCTATAATTACTTTGTTTGTGCCTCTAGATGATCCAGGACCCTAGAGTTTTTTGAATGAATGAGTGAATTATTGATCAAATTGATCACATTTCCTAGGTTAGTAGGCCCTCTCCCAAAGCCTCTGAAATTACTGTAGGTAGAGAGAAGGCCTGTTAAAAACATTCCAGCAGTAGGTACTTTCTGCTCGAGGCACACAGCTATCTCCATTTTTGGATGTTCTTTAGAGAATTTTAAAATGTTCAGTGCTAGGAAAGAGACATAGTATATTATCAACATCAAAAGTGATGTTAAACCTTGTGGCTGCTTTGTCGTTAGGTATTGATCATCTGAAGCAGGGTATGAGCAGTATTTTATTACGTACAGTTTCTTTTTGTATGAACTCATCTGCATAGTTCTAAGACTGGCATCACATTCCCAAGATGTTGTGTGGAAATGCATGATTATAGAGATCTCTCATACAATACTGAATTACCTAGTTTAGGAAATCTCAAAGCTATGACATTCCATTCAGGTGTTGAGAACAGAGTGAAAACTATACAGTGAAGTCTGAGAAAGTGGTACTTGGGTTTAAAGTCAGGCAATAGTCCCTTCTAGTGAAGTTAATCTTCTTTAACTGAGAGAAATCATATCTTTTACATAAACTTTTAACCATTCACACAAAGCAAATCACATCAAATCTTCATCAAATCACATTTTCTGAGAAGCTCTGTGCATAGTCTTCTGTAATATCACATCTCTCCTGTGTGTAACCTGGATATAGGGATCACTGGGGTCACAGACAGGATTTAGCTGTTGAACAACCTGGTATGGACTTCAGAGAGGAAAATAAGTCTGTCTGTATGTGAATAGAATAAGATACCATCATATTGATGCTTTTAGTTTACAAATATTGAAGAAGATTCTCATTGTGAGAATAGACCATGAGATGAATTTTCTACCTGAACTGAGATAGGAAATCCAGAAAAGATCAGGAAAAAAATCACACACAGTGTTTCAGTTATCATATTCCTTATAGTTATCATATTCCTTAAAGTATTGAACAAGTATTAGAGGTAAGGAGAAAATAACTTAAAGGTTGCAAAAAGTGATTGTGAGACAAATTCAATGGGAATATTAAATAGAATGTGGGTGAGGCACTAAACATCAATTCCCGAATACATGTAGGGCTACTTTTTTTACAGCTGGAGATTTTATTCCTGCATTTCCAAAACGAAAATAGATTGGCATCTATCAGATTTGGATGCACTAATTGTATTCTGGCTAAAAGCAGATGGCTTAACTTACTGAATACTCTAGGCTCCTCTTGCAGTGGCCAGTGAGGATTTATGTTTATAATATACTTATGCCTGTGGCAAAGAAGACTGTCGACTTAGTCTGCGTTGCCAAATGACTTGCTAATTTGCCTGGCCAGGCTAGTACATAGTGTCATTATGGGACTCCCTGCACTGCAAGTTGCAACCATATTATTCTGTTTTTCTAGATTTGCACTATAGAGAAGAACCTTAGGCATAAAGGTGCTATTTCTTTTCTCCTATAAAGTCATATTCAAGACTAGAACAATGGTTTGTCCCCTGCTAAGTGGGATATCTTCAAAGGTTTGGCCCTTGAGAACTGCAGACTGGTCCTCAGGTGCTTGCTTTTTTGCTGTAGCTTTGGGGAAAATTATATGGTATGAAAATATATTGTAATAAATAATAATTGCATTAATTGAGCACTTCCCATATTACTATCTAAACAAGTGACTTTCTGAATAAGGTTTTGGGAGAGGAAATCAATCTCCATATGCCTATGACTCCTTGGGGAGCCAAATTTGGGTATCATTAGTCAGCAGAAGCCTCTTGGCTGATCTTTATAATAACATACATACATCTGAAATGATCACCAGGAGCAAGAGAAACACACATCCCTGCAGGATCAAGTCTGGGAATATAATAGCACCAAGACTGCTGGGCACACTTCGTTTCTCACCTCTCTCCCCAATCTGTACTGGTACAAGCCCAAGTTTATGTCAACAACACGCTGACCCATGTGGGTCCTGTAGGATTTTACGCTGAGTAACCTCATGTGTATATCCAATCTGTTGCATTGAGAATGATGCAGTTCCACTTACATTTGCAGCACGCGTTCTTGATTGCCTGTCCTTGGGAACCAGCTCTGGAAAGTCCCTTTGCTTCTAAGGCTGAACAAAATAAAGAATGACCTCTTTTCTTTCTCATTCAAATACAAAGGCTGTTTGCTTATGTGTGCGCGGGAGTAGGAGCAGCATTACAAGTGAGAGGATTTTAGGGGCTCTGAGAAACAGTGCTATTGGCAGGAACAGCCCAATTTTCAGTGCATTTTTCTGTGCAGCCAGGTGGTTTTATGTCAGGAATGCCTTCTCCAGAGACTGTCAAAGGGAACTGGAAAAACAGCTACATGGGATGGGGTCACTGACTTTATGAAGCAAAAAATGGGAGTTCAGAATGCCTCTCCCTCACCAAACCCAGTGCTGCTCCCTCTTTAAGGGTTTTCCTAGAGACCTGTCCTGATCTTCACTGGTACCTGGATGAGCAGACAGTATGGTTTAGGTCAGGGTGTTCAAAATGTTTTGCTTAGACCACATCCATTGATCTATCTGTGTCTCTGTTACAGTCAGATTTCTTACCTTTGCCTAAGCCCCATAAATCAGAATATCTTTGAATGGGGATTAGAAATCTTCATTTCAAAGAAATTTCTTTTTTAGGACACAAATATTGAGACCCTTATGGTTGCACTTAGTGGAAACAAATTAATGTCTCCTTTAGTCTTATTATTCTAACTCCCACTATGATAGTTAGTCAAATACAACTCAGATTGGTTTTGCACCTAGTAACCCATAAACATTTCTGAAGCAGTTTTTTTAAAAATATATGAACAAAAACATCTTAGCTGTGTCTTTTAGTCTATGACTGTTTCTGAGTTTGGTCATAATCTTTTTAGAGTAATTATTCAGATTTTAAAGCTCAATTTTGATACCACCTTAGCTGTGTCAAGGGAGCTCACGTAGGCTCTGAAGTATGAGGTATTTTCCCTACTCTCTTACCAAAGAACTACTGGGAAGAAGTACAAATGTAACCTTTCGCCTAGGTGACTTCTTGGCATTATATAAGATTAAGTGATCTAAATTGTTGTGACCCCCAATAAAATTGTAGCGCTGGAATAATCGAAGATTTGGAGTGTCATGTCACAGAAATGGACACAAATTCTTTGACAGGTAGGGTCTATCATGCATGTGGGAATCTCAGGTGGAGAGACTTCCTACCAGCCATCAAACAAAAAGTAAAGGCATTCTGCACCCTCCAGATCAGCTCAGTCTTGTCGGAATATAGAAGATGACTGCTCAGTTGAACTTAGCTTAAATTCCTGACCCACAAAATTGTGAGAGATGATGAAAGTGTGTTGGGGTAATAGAGAATTGAATGTGTTGGGGTGGGAGGGAATGCTCTTGCCATGCTAGCATGTTCTCGTCCATTCACAAAGCTTGTCTTTTTACCTCTGAAAAAAGTAAGTCAGAAAACCAGTAGCAATAAAAAATAAGTAAAAATAACTCAATAAATGAAATTCCTGTATAATGTTAATTGGAAGAATTACTTACAATTTAAATAATACACATACTTTACCTAATGAACTCAGAGTGGTTTAACAAATTTTTCCTGGTTTATAAAACAGAATATTTATAAAATAATACGTCACAGTATTTAAAAAAGGAAATGGATATAAATTGAGCTGAATAAATAATGAAGGACACAGGCACTTACACATTAAATGAGTTGCTTAAATTCTCAATAAAGTGGGTTAGTCACATGTTCATTTATAGAACTAGTCCTGTAGACCACTAGCTTTCAAACTTTTTGGCTACAAGTCACAATAAGAAATAGAAATATTTTGTATGTAGTGGAAAAGGACCCAATATCATACATATAACTCTGGAGGAAACTGTATATGCCTTATAGATGGCACACTCTGTGATTTTTAAAATTCTACATCCTTTAAAAAAAATGTTGGTCAAGCTTACTAAATTAATTTCATGACCCATTAATGGGTTATACTCTACAGTATGAAAGCCACTGCTCTAAGTACTAAGCTTCATGCGACCTGAAATTCTGTCCACAGCACCACTGCTTACAGGGTGCTTAGAAATTTCTGGTGCAGAGAAGGTACCAAGCATTGCAAGCATGAACGAATTATATAACAGTAATTATAATTTAGTAAAATGGAGGGGTGTAGATAAATAATCAGGAAATCCAAGGTCAATTCTGAGTCATATACATCCTTGAAAAGTGCTTCATTTCTCTATATTCTTATAAAATAGAACTTAAAATGTTTTGATATTTGGACAAAATGAGTCCACTAATATAATACTATTTTGCATAAAAGATCTAGAATTATAAGTAAGAACAATGTCTCTAGTATATACTTTGAAATATCTGTGAATGCAAAGAAAATACCTTTGAAATGTCCTAAATATGTCGTATGAATATTTTTTTTCATATGACTACTTTTTAAAATACTACTTCTTTAATTTAGATTAACCAAAGAAAAATTTCCCAGAAAATGAAGGCTAACTTTAGACATTCTTAAAGATAAAAATTTATTTAGAATTTCACTGAGTAGCAAACAATCCTAAAATGTGCTTGGTAGATGCCTCCCATGAAGTATTCTTTGGAGCATTACTATAGTCGTATACTGAGCGTAAACCTGCCCCTCATCCTGAGCTGTTTTTGTGTCAATGGATATTTCCAAAACTGAAGAGAGACCTGATTGAATAAAATGATCTTCTTATCCCTTCAGGAATTTATTAATCCCTAGTATATATATTATAAAATGTCAACACTTCTAAATTACTGAGCTTTTGAGTATGAAATTTTGAACAATATCTATGGAGGAATTAAGGACTTTGCTAAAATTGTTCTAATCACCACCAAGAGCCCTATGCTCTCAACAAGACAGTTTTTGCCTGTGTAGACCTTGAAAGATAGCCTGGATGGGCCTTCCCTTTGTTTTGTCTGTAAAGCCTACCAAGGATCTGGCTTTGTGGGAACTTTCTTAGCTTGCTTTCTGGGCAAAGCAGCACACTGCCAGTTTGATGTTCTAGCCATGAACTCAGAGAAACACTTAAAAACCATGGTTCTGCCACTCCCAACAAGGGTGGTCCTGGCAGGTTTCTCTGTTTCAAAGAGCTTTGAGCATTGTATAAGTTGTAGTGCACATGGACACACACAGAAAACATTTTTAGCCTAGTGCCCAGCACATACAAACCAATAAATAATAGTTTCTGTTAGATGTTGTAATCATTTTTGTTTGTTTTATTGTCAGCTGGGTGGTTAGGAAAGACTTATTTGCTCAAGAAATAGCAGGTTTATTTAAATCTAAGGAACATGATTTCATGGGTTTTACCATGTCTTAGGACTCAAGCACTATGGGGCCCAGAAACTCAGCTGAAAAACAGCAAGGTCTCCGCCCCTGAGCAGTGCACCTGTAGTGACAAACACTGTCTCGATGAACCCTGCTCCGAGCCACAGCCCTGCTCTACTGCTGGGAGAAGTGCCACACTGCTAAATATGTACTTTGTTGGGAAAACTAGGGCACCAATTCGATTGCTCTCTGTGATGCCGAGCTATTTTGAAGTATAGTTTCAAATCGACTCCCGGCAAGTTGTGAAGTTGTCATTTGTCTCTGTCACTTCTAGTCTTCCCTCCCTCATGGTTCTGAGCCCCTTCCCTCCCCATCTGTGAGTGCATTTCTACTTCATATCATGGATGAGTAGGATGGCTTACAAAGGCTGTCCTTTTAGGTGTATTTGTGCTTTAGATGACTCTAAAAAAATGAAGCCAATGATTCTCCAAAGGGAGGGTTTCAGATATCTGCAGGCGAGTGAGAGGGATGATTTGGGACTGGCGGTGATCCTGGATTCCTCAGTTCACACCGCCTTGTCAGCTGGCTCTCAGCTGGAAAAACATTTTGTCATTGCAGTAGGGGGGAAACTATTTCTACATTTTCCAAGGTGTGTTTCATGGGATCTGAGTTGCTTTATTGTGGGCAAAAACTTTTAAGAAACTACGAAAGTTAAACAGGTTTCTTTGCTGTAGAGATTTTCAAGACCTTTAACATGCTTATGTTATGGAGATGTTTTGAACATGTAATGGGATCTTTAGGATGTAGCAATTTCTATCTTATTTGCTTATCTTTTAATTTTTCAAGAAACAACTTAAGCATCTAATATTCTTTATAAAGCACCAATCTAATCCAATATTCTAGAACAATCTGTAAGACATGGCTAGGATGGCCAGTAGTATACTCAAGATTCTCTACTGAGAGGAATTCAGGTTCAGAAATAACAACCACATTCTTAGACTCCACGATATGGTTAAAAAAAAAAAAAACCCTCCATATAGTTACAGATTTAATGTCTGTCTTCCCTGATAGAATATATGTGCATTCAAAGTTTTGAATCTTCTATTCACCAAAGTATCAGTAGCCTCTAGCATGGTACTTCGCACATGGTGATTGAGCTAGAAGTTATTAAAACTGATTTAAGATTGTTCCTGGGTTGAACATGTGTTTTCTGTTCCTGCGTGTATCCATTGCTTCCCCCTGCCTGCCTGCCAGTCCAATTCTAGGTATGAAGGGCCAGTGCCAGATTCAGTACTTACACTGAGAGTACGTGGTCCCGGTCCCACTGACACTGAACCTGTTCAGATGCAGCCTGTGTGTGACCACATTCTTCTGGGGTTGGAATAGAATGATGTGTACCTTGGGTGCAAACAGACAGCCCAGGACCACAAAGCCGCTCAGGCTAACAGAGATGCACATGGTTGTTGTCTGTACCTGCAAGAAAGAGTTTCATAGTTAAGTGTCCAGCTTTACATTTCCTTACAGTAGATGGCCAGCTAAGGGAAGCAATGAACGGTGCCCAAAATGAAAAATCCAAAGCATCCACAGTTCTGCTCTTGGTATAGCCACACCCACACAGGACTTATACTAGGTTTTCTAAGCATGGATTTTTAGGGTTGGTAAGCAAGCACTCTTAGTGTTGGGTTCTTCCGAATGCTTGCTAAGACATTGCATCAATTGTTTTGTTTTCTTTATGCTTCGAAAGAGATTTTTCTGTAGAGCCTCTAAAGTCAGACTCTTAAATTGTAAAATATAAATATTCAGTGATGGAGTGACAGATTGCTGATGGTTTCAATCAAAACGGTCTGTTTAAGGCTTGTGATATTATAAACAAAA